TATATATATATATATATATACACCATATCTTACTCCATTTATCAGTCAATGGTAGCTCCATTTCTTGAAGTTCTTGGTAGTCTAAAGCTGGTAGTGCTTTTTCTGGCCCTCATTTATTGTTTCTTCTCTTCTCATGTGGTCCATAAGTTTGGGTTGTGACCTCATGTTCTGCCTGGCCTTCTTTGTCAAAATCCCATGGGATAGTAAGACATGAACAAGAAATAATATTGGAGGAGCAAGATTATAATTATTTACAGATGATTTCATAATGTACCTAGAAAGTACAAGAGATTCAGTAACAATCAGAATTAATAAAACTTGTAGACAAACTTAGAATTAATAAAAAAGCAAAAATAAGCAAAAAACAAAGGAAAGAGGCCTACTACAGAATACCTTACTAAAATCACCAGCCTTCCAATAAGCTAATAATAACCAAAATGCCCATGGATATGAAGAGAAAACTTATAGAAGAGAACATATAAATGGTCAATAAACACAGAGGCCGAAGTCAAAGAGATACAGTGAAATGCAGCTAAAATGATCTTTTATTTTTACTAACATTTATCAAGAATTAAAGTCATAATATCAAGTGTTGATGAGGGAAATTGGTACCTTCACACACTTGGTAGGACTGAAATTTAGTACAGCATTATTTATAATTGTAAAAAAAAAAAAAAAAAAACCCATCAACAAAAGACAGGTAAAGTATGGATACTGTGTAGTAATTAAAGTAAATTTGGAAGAAATAATGGTGGGAGGGGGACCTTCCTCTTAAATACAAAAACTAAGTTGCAAAACACTATGTACAGTAAGATGAACTTGATAAAAAAAAAAAACAAAAAACGACAAGACTGTATTTATACAGGTGTAGAGAAAGGTCCAGAAGGATACATGCCAAACACACAGACGAGGGTAATAACAGTTACTGAGTGTTTGCTTTGTGCTGTGAGAGGTTACAGATTATTTACATCCATTAGGTCTAATCTTCCCAGCAATTCTGAGGGCATAAAACTCAGACTCTTAAATCTAATGATTTGTATCTTAAGTTGAAGGACATTTTCTGAAATTATGTATTTGGTAGTTTACTCCCCATAAGTCTCTGTCTTCCCTTTCCATAACTCTTCCTTGGCTGATTCTCTAGGTCTTTACAGTTTTCTCTCAGGTTTCTCACCTCTTTGTCTTTTTGTTTTATATTTTAGGTCAGTGATTCTCATTCTTGAGGTGCATCCCAGTCTTCTTAAAGGCTTGTGAAAACACAGATTGCTGCCCCTTCACCCCAGTTTAAGGTTTAGTAAGTTCAGGCTGGAACCCACAAATTTTCATTTTAAAAAGTTCCCAGGTGGGGCACCTGGTTGGCTCAGTCAGTTAAGTGTCTCTTGATTTCAGCTCAGGTCATGATCTCCTGGTTCGTGAGTTTGACCCCTACATCAGGCTCCATACTGCCTGCTTGGGATTCTCTCTCCCTCTCCCTCTCTCTCTCTCTCTTTCTCCGCCCCTTCCCCATTCATGCTCTTACTCTCTCAATAATAAATAAGTAAACTTAAAAAAAAGTTCCCAGGTGATACTAATGCTGCTAGTGGGGATCATATTTTGAGAGTCACAGTTCTCAGGTATTTCTTTCATATATTTGCATTTTTTAGTTTGAGTTACATGTTTTAATTTCCAAGAAAATTTTCTATTTTCTTTTTCCAGTTACTTTTTTTCTTCTTTGTCTATGGAAGAAAAATCTCCTAGAATCTCATGGAGAATACTAAGTAGATTTTTTTTTAAGTTATTTCCTACTCTCCAAACTATCTCCATTTCTCCTGAATTTATTGTTCTGCTTACCTTGGTTCCTTTGTGAGCTGTTTTACTCAAAGATCTCAGAATCATGGCTATCCATTAATATCTGTGGATGAAAGATTTGTAGTATAACATAGGTGGTTGGTGCTGGTCTTCTGTACCATCTTGTGGATCTGTTTCTTCAACAACCCTCTCCTCTAAGTGGGAGCCTTAGGTATGTCAACAAGCAGGATGCCATTTAAGGGCCATGGTTGGGACACTATT